ATTTTGTTGGAGGAGGCATGTCCTCGTCGATTGGCAGCCTAAAGCGACAATATAATAAGGCACGATTACTGATAAGACGTCTTTTCTGTTTGTCTTGGTTGACAGTAGGAGAGACCCGGCATATTATCGTTTGTTGGCCTGAGGGTCATTTAAGCCAATGAGGCCTACCGGAGTACATCGGGAGGTACAGGCCATAGGCCTAACCGCCTGTTTTTGTGCCCTCGTATGTCGAGCAGGTCATCGTCGTCGTCCGAATCTGACGTCAGTCTTCTACGATATCTATGAAAAAATAAGTAATGTATGGACAACGTACTTTGTCCTCATGTCTCTTCCTAAAGTAGCCGGTTCTGACGATGAAAGGTTGTCTGTAAGTTCTGCCTTTTTGGCTAACCTCCGCGCCTTATAAATATTAAGGCCGTCCCTGAGGACTTTGACCTCCTACACTTTTGTGCCATCGGGTGGGCCGTCGATTAGTCTCCGGCGGATGCTACATATCACGCTTCTTTGGCCAGACAACATAGTTTTCTCCACAGAACCATGAATTGGCAACAATGGCCACTGAATTGTCGGAGATAAATTTAACTACCGCATACATCTGCAGGGATGTATGGGTCATGGGGAATACACGTACAAATAAAATCACTGTACATTAAACCTGTGCAACAGGGGGATTAAGTAAGACTGTTTTTCAATATGAAAAGAAACATATTTACAAGTAATGTCACTTAGGGAGGCAGTGTTTGTATGCTTTTACTTGCCGGACGTAGGACCGAGCATGCGCGTCGCAGACGACGTTGGCGAGCTCCACTCTAACTACTTCATCCGTATCTGGGACCTGAAGGCCGCTGGTCAGGATATTCTTCAGTTCTGAGATGCACTGGTCCAGAAATACATCCAAAGGCTCAGGCTTGCCGGAACCGGAGAACACTCCAACAACAGACGGCTGTCCACGGAGAGGATAGCTGACTCGACCGAGGATTGGCCATAGACACTGACCAGACCATTTAAACAGTCCATTGACTTCGGCAAGGCGTTGGATTGCGTCCCACATTAGCGCGTCGTTCAAAAGTTGCCAGGTGTAGAGATGAGAGGCAATCTTTGAACTGTATTCAAGATTTCTTAAACAGTCGTAGACAAAAAGTCCCTGGGGGTGGCTACTGCACATAATGGGCACCTGTTAAAAGTGGTCCCACAAGGGTCAGTTCTTGGGCCGCTCCTATTCATGATCAATGTAAATGATCTAGTACGGGAAGTGAAATCGGACATCGCGCTCTTTGCAGGCGATCTTAATCTTTGGATTTGACAAAATATTAATAATACGTCACGATACCACAAGCGGTCTCAGAGAATTTGCACGCATATTTTGAGAATTGGTGCATGAAATTCAACGTCAAAAATGTGTTGTTAGGCACATTGTATCAACGAGGCGAATAACAAATGCACCCTCACGACAGTATCTGCTGGACAATCCTCCACTTAAAACATAAATTTGCAAAAGGATCACGGCGTATTCACTAAAGACGTTCTAAGCGTCACCACGCAGTGTTCTAAAGTCGCAGCACGGACAATTTCATTCATGAGCGCGATATAAAGAACGTTTATTAACTTGAATGCAGATGTCTTTGGCAGGGTACATGGGGTATGTGTGCGGCCACACCTGGAATATGCGGTGTAGGCACTACAGCCTTGGCTTCGGAGGGATATAAATATTCTTGAAAGTGTACAGCGACATGCTGCAAAGGCTGTTCATGAACTCAATAATTTTACGTATGAGCAACGCCTGACGGTAGGATGATATTACCGACAAAGACGAAGGGGGGCTGGAATGACAACTTTTGGCTTATTAGCCGTCGTCAGCCAGCTCAGACGAAACGATTACTGGCTTCAAAAAGAACTGTGCACACAAATCAACTTTCCTCCTTTTTCTCGCAGAGGGTCATTCGTCAATGGAAATTTTCGCCGACGTATGCTGTTAATTCCCCATCTTGAGTGTGTTCAGGGTACAACAGGATAATGACCTGTTAAAAGGCAAGCCTAACTCCTCTATATCTGGTTACTGAAATGACTATGAATATACTACTTACATGAATTCAATAGATTCCTTTGTGTGCGTCAACCTTGACCCATATGATAATTTTCAGTGCGAATGCAGTGAACGATTTTTTCGCCGTTTTTTCTCAACTGCCATACATTTTCGCATTTTCGTTCCAATATTAGATTTA